CTTTCCCTGTGTTTACATGTCCCTTACATTTGACTGAACCAACTTCTGTCTTCATCGATCTCTCTTTCATTATTCATTTTTCTTTTCACTTTTTTTTTTTGTCACGTCTTATTTCTCTCTGTGGGTCATTGCTTCATTTTCCTCTCTCCTTCCACCACCCTCTCCTTATTTTCCCCCTATCTCATCTTCTCTTGTTTTCTTGTATCTCCTCTTCTGTATATGTATCCTTTTTCTTCCCTCGTGTGCTTCCATCCTGCCCCCCCCCCCACACCCTCCCCATTCCCCCTCCCATTTCTGTGTCTCTCCGCCTGTAGGTGCCGGATGTGTGCGGCGACCTTCTTCAGTAAGTCTGATATGCAGATCCACTCCAAGTCGCACACAGAGGCCAAACCTCACAAGTGTCCTCACTGCGCCAAGTCATTCGCCAACTCCAGCTACCTGGCCCAGCACATCCGCATCCACAGCGGGGCCAAGCCTTTCTTCTACACCTGCTCTGCCTTAACTGCCAGAAAATCTTTCCAGGCAGCTCAGTCATTTACAGCAGCACACACGGTACTGCAGAAAACCCCCCCCCCCCCCCCCCCCCCAAAAAAACTCCTCCCCTGCCCCCCTCCCCTCCCTCTTCCCTGTTACCAACCCCATACCATACTCCCTGTCCTCTGAACTTGTCTTGCCAAATTCCTTCTTGAAGCCCAGACTCCTGTTTTCTTCTTCCTCCTGGGGAAGAGAGTAGAGCGGTGTGCAGATGAATGTTACACTGCCATGTAGATGTTGGCTCGCATGCTACCAGTTCCATCCAGAAGTGACCTTTTCAGAAAATCAGAATTCAAATCGCACCTTTTAAGTTGGTCTTCGTCCATGAAAAGATTTTCCATAATTTATACACTAATCAGAATGGCCATTTAAAATGCATGGAGTTCTTGTTATACGAATTGACACAATGAGAATATTTGACCCTTTCTCTCTTTTTTTCATTTGCCTGTGTGCACAATTCTTGCCTCCCTATGTACTGTTTGCACTGCACCATATTTTTTTTCCTGCTTTACACACCTCTACATGTTTCTTTTGTCTGCATGTTCTGTCATCTCTTCTGCCAGGGCTTCTTCCACTGAAACACACATATACACATTTAGAAAAACATGTTGAAATGAACATTTTTAAGCAGGCTTTGTTCCATTGAGCTTCCCCATAAAACCCATTGTGTTATTGTTTCTTATTGATGCTTTGAATGGTGACGCTCAATAGACATCCTCCGCTGTCATGCTCTTCTTTCATGCTGTTGCTGTTTTGTTTTGTTTTTCTTTTCTTTTCTTTTCTTTTTTTTTTCTTTTTTGGTGTCCTCAAATCAATTTACAGTCATTTCTGGAGGCATATTGATTTGCACTGATGAATTCCAATTATTGAATTACATTATTTATTTTCACATTTTATCAATTTTGAATATATTTTAATGGAACGTCTTGTCTTTAACTCTCAAACGTCTAATTCTAAAAACTGGTTCAGATGGATAGGAGTAAAATTTTGTTGATAATGTTTGATATTTATGTTATACGGAATTTAAAATAACACCTTAAACACCTTAAAATACAACTGACACTACTTACAAAGTGTAAATGCTGGCGGTTTTCTTCTTTATTTACTGATGGCTGTTCAGAGTTTCCATGGTTTCCTTTACTTGTCTGGGATGTCCGTCTTCAAAGGTTTTGACATATTTAAGGTGGCAGAATGTGTCAAGCATAGTATCATCTTACAATCCCATGTTCCTTTCTCTGTCACCCTCCTGTCTGCCCCCATCAGGAATCACACAGAGTCAAAGCCTCACAAGTGTCCCCATTGTACCAAGTCATTTGCCAACTCTAGCTACCTGGCCCAACATGTCCGCATCCACACCGGAGTGAAACCCTACACCTGCTCCTACTGCCAAAAGTGCTTCAGACAGCTCAGTCACCTTCAGCAACACAACAGGTAAGTAAGTCACCGGTCTTGGGTTTCTCATCGAGATCTGTGTCTTTCTGCAGTCGGGTTAGATCACCATGAAAAAGGATAGGGGTGCATGCACGTACATGTATGTGTTTGTATTGTGTTTTTCTACAGGATTCACACTGGAGATCGGCCATACAAGTGCTCCCATCCAGGCTGTGAGAAATCCTTCACGCAACTCTCAAATTTACAGGTGCGAAAGAATTTAGATCTCGTCTCAGGCAGTGCATGTCATGTCAATGGTATTTTTAACACTACACTGTACTGTGACCCCTTTTTTTTCAATAACCATTTTTTCTCAGTCCCACCGGCGTCAACACAACAAGGACAAGCCCTACAAGTGCACCAACTGCAATAAAGGATACATAGATGCAGCAAGCCTGGAGGTGCACATGTCCACACACACTGTCAAACATGCCAGGATCTACTCCTGTGGTCTCTGCAACCGCACTTATACCTCAGTAAGACAAATGTCCATTTCTGAAGAGCATTTCTACATGAAACACTATGAATCGCCTCACTGGCAACAGACACCTGGCAGCTACTTTACACCGTGTAGTCATGTGTCCACTGTTTCCCCTCTGCCTATCCTCCCCTCATCTCAGGAGACGTATCTGGTGAAACACATGGAGAAACACAACCCAGACCAGTTGACTGCACCAGCAGTGGTGGCACAGACGACACAACAGAACCAGAACCAAAGCCAGGCCCAGGGCCAGGCTGGAGCTCAGGGCCGGGTAGAGAGTGCAGATGGAGGATCGAGCCGCCCTGGGGGAGCTGGGAGCGGAAGAGCGGGCGGAGGCCAGCAGGGACAGAGCCAGAGCAACTACCCCCAGTCAGAAAACATCCCCTGTCCATTTGACCTGCACCAGTATAAGACGGTGTCTGCCAGTGACATCCAGTACAAACCAGTCAGTGTGGCTGACATTACTTCCCACAAGGACCTCTGTCTCACTGTGTCAGCATCCACCATTCAAGTGGAGCACCTCAACCCTTAGAGGTGATGAAAGAGGGTGTGTGGGGGGTGGGGAAATTAGAATTAATTCAAGAATACAAGAAATGGAGGATGGAGAGTCAAAGGAAAAAAGCAATACTAAGATGAAACAAGAACTTTGAACATCTGACTGTGCCTGAACAATGGTTTGAGGCAGGCAGGACAAATGATATGGTGACACAATTTACTGAAGGCTATAATTTTGTTTTATTTTTTCATTTGTCTCTTATTTTCTTTCTGCCTTGCTTGATTTGTTTTCCTTTTGCCTAGCTGTCCTGTCTTAGTAGAAAGTGCATGTAAAGGCTGCAATAAAATATGTAACAGTCCATCACAGTGATGGTTTTAAAATAGGAAGAGAGTCAAAGAAACAGTGCTTCTGTTGTTTATCACCTCCTGCTCTTCCCTACAAATACAGCTTTGGCCATAGCAATTTATGGTCTCTCTGTTGACAAAATTGGTGGGTAACTGAAGGTAAATTTTTATACTTTAATACAGAGACTTTCAGTTTTTACTCAGTGTTATTACCTTTACTATGTTGTAAAATATATTACTGCAGTTAATTCTTTTTGACCTTAAAAGGGATGTAGAGGTTATTTCTTTTTCAGGAAAGAAAAAATATCAATCAAGTATATATAGATATATACTACCAGTTTATAAATAATGATTGTGTGTTTAAAGGATGTGGTAATCCATATAACCTATTTAGACCCATTCACAGGCCTTCTCATGACCTTCGGGCGAGTGATGTGCCAGTTCATGTTTCATGTAATCCTATTGTACTGCTTTGCGTGTATGTCCTAAGAGTAATGTTATCCAAATGTGTACTTGCTATTATACTTCCACAATAACATTTACAATACTTCTTTATAGACATACTTACACATCTGAAATTTGTGTTCTTTCTGCTTATAATACAATAAATCCTGTGAAATTTTCTCATTGGCATTTTTTTCTGTTTCAGTTTAAGGCCAAATAAATTTTTTGTGCCATGCATATACACATGTACACATTTGGCTTTATCTGTCCTGTTGTTTTTATCCCAATTCTAATTTGTCAACTTTTTTGTTTGGCTGTTTTATCCCAGATTTAAAAGCCTAACCAGGGATGGGGGCAACAAATTAGCTTCAGCTAGATGCCCTATATACATCACATCTGTTGCATTGCTTATGTGTATGTAACAATGTTTAACTGTATGGTCCCTGTTAAATAAAGAAATAAGTATAATTTCCTTATGTGCCATAGTGGCTTTATGAAGGGACATTAATTTAAGGCTGTGACAAAAAATTTTTATCCATTAATTATTTTCTCAATTAATTGATTAATCAGTCCATAAAATGTCAGAAAATAGTGAAAATTCCCATCACAATTTCCCATAGCTTGAGTTTACATATTAAAGGGCTTGGTTTTTCTGACAGAGTCCAAACACAGAAACATTCAATAGCAAATATTGACATTTGAGAAGCCACAATGAATACATATTTTTTGGTATTATGACTAACAAAAATTACTTAAATAATTAACAAGTTATCAAAATAGTAGTTGATTAACTCTCTGTCTATTAATGTATTGATCAATTAATACATTTTTTCAGCTGTATATTCATTACATTTAAATACATTTTATTTTTGTTAAAAACTGTATTGAGAGGATTTTTGAGACACCTGAAAACACCATGCTGATTGAATTATGCATAAAGGTCTTAATGATACTGTATTTAATGATGCTCTATAGCATCCAGGTATATTTGTTGTTTCAAGCATGTCTGCCCTGCAGGAATGTGCAAATGTGTGAGGTGTTTACAAAAGTGGGCAGTACCATTAAAGCGGGGGGGGGGGGGGTTACTGTCAGATAAACCAACATTTTCACACTTAATGTCTGTAATGATACTCGTATTGAGACTGTTTAGTCGTCGGAAAGCCAACTCTAAATAGGACAATCGAATAAAGCCACACTGACGTAAGCTCGGGCAGTTTGTGAACACTATCACTTGGTTTCGCCCACCATTCTCTGCAGTCTGCAGTGGATATGGCGTCACTTTAAAGTGTAGGAGTCGAGAAACTTCACCCATGTAAATACGGTCAAAAAGAAAGCTGTGTGACACGCTTCAGACAGCAAGACACAGTTTATATATATATATTAACCAGATTGTTTTAAATATGCCCCGGAAAAAGCCATTTAGCAACAAACAGAAGAAGAAACAGCTGCAAGTGAAACGGGAGAGAAAGAGAGGTAACTACATTTGCCGTTAGCGTGCCATGCTAGCGTTAGCAGTTAGCTAACGGCTCTTGCACCACAGCTAACTAAACGTAGTTCAGCAGCAAACTGTTTGCTTGTCTGAGTCTGTGTAGTGTTGAGTAAAATTCTCATGTAAACCTCAAGGACACTTAGCCTGTAAAATAAACCTCTATGTTTTGTGTTAGCTAGCTGTGATAACAAGTAGTGTGACAACTTGCCCTCGAACTTGACCAGTGTAAAAGGCACGACACAACAGTACAATCTTGTTTGTTACAGAAGCATGAAAAATTACATGTTTGTATGATTTTTGGTCCTTAACAAAGTGAGGCTGTGGGGCAGTGTACTGTTACCCAGAGGTTAATGTCAAACAGCACTCAATAGTGATAATGTGATGGTTAAATGATTTCCAGCGTGCCCGTGGGTTTTCCATTTGAATGTACTTATGCTGTTGCTGCCTTTTTCTGTTCTTACTTTTTTCTGTTTTTAATGCATTGTGTAAAGCACTTTGAATTGCCCTAATGTATGCAATGTGCCATACAAGTAATTTTGTCTTGCCTTAATTGCCACCAAATTTAGAACATTCATCAGAATATCATTTTAATATTTAAAAAAATGTAGACTGTACAGACTGTATACCTCACCAATGAGTAGCTATTACATTTCAAAAATTTATTTCAGTATTTCTGAGTTCAGTCATACCATGATTTGCAAGACAATGATCAATTTTTAAATAAAGGCCTATAGTCTCAAACAAGCAGTGTTAATCAAGGATTTTCTTCTCACATTGTCCAACACAAACGTCTTAAGATACATATATTTAAGATTATTTAAAATCAGTTTAGATTATGATTTTCATTTAAAGAAGTATAAAATTCTGACAGAATGTGTATTAAAAAAAACCCTGTTATTAAAAGCAAGATCAAATCATCTGTACATGGTGGTTAATTATTTCATCAGTGCAGGAGGCCACTGTAGAGTCAGTGTATACTTATCATCAAATTAGTAAGATTTCAGAATAATTTGAAACAAGTACCTCTTAGTTTCTGTATTAAAAGCATTTTGCTGTTCATTTCATTTGTTAGTATTTAACCTTGTGAAATTGCCACACTTCCTTGATGGGGACATGGTTTAAATAACAAGATTAAAGACATTAAATTACAGCTGCAACTAAGAACTATTTTCATTATATTTTAATCAATGAAATGTCAATAAAGTACTGAAAAATGCCTGTGAAAATTTTCCAGAGTCCAAGGTAATCTCTTCAAATGTCTTGAATGTTGTCGATGTAAAACCCAAAGATAATCACTATCATGTACAACAAAGAAAAGCATCAAACACTCACATTTGAGCAAGAGCATTTCAAGCAGAAACCAGTAAATGTTGGCATTTTTGCTTAAAAAATTATGAAAACAATTATTTGATGATCAAAGTAGTTGCAGATTAATCCAATCAATTAATTCACTAATCATATTGTATGCCTGTGTTTGACTGTGATTCCTGACTTTTGCACCTGACTTCCAGGTGACACAGGTTCTGGGCCTAGTAGTCGCAATGCCAGTGTGGAGCGAGGAGGAGAGCGACAGTCAGATACCTCTGACAGTGAGACCACTGATATTAGGAGAATAAACCAGCAGCCTTTCAGCAGAGAAGGTAGATATGACCCCAACAGGTGAGTTGTCAGTATCATTGCTAATGCTCACTTTGATTGACTTAAATTAAAAGGATGATATTGTCAATGATTTAAGATTCTGCCGAGATTAATACAGATTTTGTACAGAGTGTCTGTCATTTGTCATTTATAGAAACCTAAAATGCATTGCCTGGAGCACTAGCAGGACACTTGAATTAGAAGAAAATGGCTACCTTATGCTAATTAATTGGAGCAATATGTTAGAGTATGCAGATAATAAACGAAAAATAGGCCTGGTTCTCAACACTGTATTTTAGTGACTTTATTTTATTTGAAATGGCCTATATCTTGATTACTTAAATTAGGCTGTAGTGAAGCCCATGTTGTATAACGTCAGTGGTCTTATGTACAATCTATTTAGTCTTATCTAAATAAAAGTAAATGAGCGAAATTTATACTAAATCATCACTTTTAAGATATAGCGAAGCACAGTCTGACAAAGTAACCCTCTTAATACCTCCTTCTTACTCCTCTCTTCAGGTTCCGACTGCACTTTGAGAAAGAGAGTAAAGAGGAGGTGGAAAAGAGGAAGAAGATGGCCAGAGAGAAGGTGTTGCAGCCAGTCTCAGACAAAGAACTTGAAGTCGGCATCAACGACATCTATCCCTCAGAGAAAGGTCTGGCTGTTTCTTTAATGCTTTCCACATGACAGTCTCAAAATAAGCCAAACAGATGAACGGAGTAAATTAATGGAGTGGGTCACTGCTTGTCACACTGAAACTTGATTATCCACTGCCAGGTCTTGGTTTCCCACGACGGCCGTCCTGGAATTATGAAATGACACGAGAGAACCTGTTGAGGAAAGAGGAGAAGTCGTACAGAGAGTACCTGGATGATCTTCACTCCAGAAATCCACTTGGCTCTCTCAGCCACTTTGAACACAATCTAGAGGTAACTAAGTTAACAAGTCTTTGCACTGATATGCATTGTCAGCTGTGACACCTTTTATATAGACAGGTATGTCAGCTGAATCAGCTCAATTTAGCACAGGTGGACTCCAATCAAGGTGTAGAAACAAGTGTCATAGCTAAGGGTCTGAATACTTATGTAAATGTGGTATTTCAGTTTTTCCTTTTTAATAAATTAGCAAAAATTTCTAAAATTCTACTTTTGCTTTGTTGTTATAGGGCATTGACTGAAGCTTGATGATGGGAAAAAATTATTATTTTTATTTTAGCCCAAGGCTGCAACATAACAAAATGTGAAAACAAATGAAGGGGTCTGAACACTTTCTGAATGCACTGTACATTATGGGGCAGGCTACTCCTCCCAAAACGTAGGCCAAGAATATACCTCATTTTCATTCCTATTTTTGAGTCAGTAAACACTTTTTTTTTTTTCTTTTTTTTTTTTTTTAAATAATGTTTTCTTTCATAAGATGTGTACTCTTATATTGCCAATAGAGTGAAAAAAGGTAGAATCATGTTTTGAGAGGAGTATCCCTTTTTAATACGATGATATATTACCATTACCATAAAAAAACAAAGAACAAAGAATACTATGATATAAATTTTAGGTCATAACAAGTCAGACCAAACCTGGTTTTCTAGTGTACCAGGATCAGGCAGTATTACAGTTCATCAGTGCACACACTAGCTTTTGACGCTCTCTGTCCTTAATATAATTTTGATTTTTTTCGGCTGAGACTATTAGGTTTAGCATGTAGTCAAAGAACCATGTTTGTTATATAAGAACCAGGTTTTTGTTGGCAAAAAGTTCACACTGACATCAGAATTTAGTGCAGCAAACTACTCATTTGCCAGCACCTTTCCTGTGCAAGATGGGTTGCCTGTAAACTGATAATTATCCTTGAAACGTTCTTTGCCACTTTCACCTAAAAATAGAACCGTTGAGGCTGTTATCCACTGTATAATCCAGGATTCATCTTAAACTGAATACTTCATGCTGGTAAAGTTACATCACGTAGCGATCTGTGAAGAGAATTGTGTGAGGAGTATTGTATGACATACCTGCATGTTGTCTTTTACCTTCTGGCAACAAAGTCATCATATCATCATCATCATATATTACCTACATGCTGTGTTATTGCTCAGACTGTGAAAATGGTAACACAGTTTTTCAAAATTAAAAACCCAGCAGATCATTTAATTTCAAAGCGTGGGTTGAGCTCAGGAGGCACATCACAGCAGAAGCAGGGCTGTAGCAGCTAGTGGTGTAATAAGTGACTCTCATTAATCTAGAGATGATGTCTATTTAAATGGTGCTGAGGATCAAAGCAGTAGAAAAAAACATGAATAAGCTGCTTGTTTGAACATGTTGTTTTGCCTCTGTGACTGGATATTAGTTTCATAGCATCAAAACTGAGACTCGCATAAAATAGAATAATAATTAAAATAGTTTTAAATATCCTCATTTTTTCTCATTTTTTCCTAATAAAAGTGTAATGCAGAGAAAGAGAGATAACAGAAATTCATAGATATTCTATTTTCTTTACAATATTAAACCTAACCATACTTCGCACTGTTTTTTTCCTTTGTTTTAGACATGGAGGCAGTTATGGAGAGTGTTGGAGATGTCCGATGTCATTCTGCTCATTGTGGACATCAGGCATCCGGTAGGTGATGTTGTTAGCAGAAGCCTGCAGAGTGGATCAGGCCACTAGATGGAGACACTTTCAAGATTCATCTCAATAACTGATCTGGTGTTTATTCTGTATCACTTCATTTACCTGACACATTTTAAAAATTGTTATGTATTTTTGGTGCCAATTTGGTCATCAAAAATAATTGAAGAGACTTTCTTCTTATACTAGAAGGACACTTGTATAATGCTGTATCCTTGAATGTGTCAAGGCAAAATAAAAGTAAAATTGACAAGATAGAAAAGGTTAAGGACAGCTTTTACTGAACACTGAAGTAGATTTGAAGGCAAAGACAAATAAAAATAGATAACATTATCCCACCTATTACCTCAGCTTAATAGACAAATGTTACTAGGTCTGAGCTTAATGTTTGACAACAAATTAAAGGGTTATATTTTATGTTCGGATAAATATGAAGTTCTGATCAGTAGCTCAGTTTCTCAGTCTCTCAGAGGATTTCACACTGGCCATTTGTTTCCCTTCCATTAGTTTCTCATAAAATCTTAAATACATTGTTGTGATCTTGCTGATGAAGTGAGGGAAAATGGTTGTATTTAACTTTCTACTCTGTTCATTGTGTGACAGTGTGACTTAAGGCTCATGATTGAAAATGAAAATGAAACCCACTTCTCAGGATCTAATTATAAGACATCTGCTTCTGACATACTTTATTTCTGACTTTCATTCCAGATATACTTCATTCATTCACTAATTCACTTTCTCTATTTAGAGTTTCCAGTTTCAATGCAAATTTAAAAACAGCACAACTCAATGATTTGTGGTTTATTTGTTGAATAGGCCATTATTATTAATTTAACAAGGTGTGTCCTCATGTTAACCACTGGCTAGGTGCTGCAGTTCCCTCCAGCTGTGTACCACTACATCACAGGAGATCTACAGAAGCAGGTGGTCCTGGTGTTGAACAAAGCCGACCTGTGTCCTCCCCCACTGGTGATTGCCTGGAAACACTACATGACCTCTCAATTCCCGCACCTGCAAATAGTCTGCTTCACCTCCCACCCTGGACAGCCCTACAGCACAGGTGAGGAGAGGGAGAATGGGGTAAGAGAAAAAATGGTGGATTTTGGTGGATAGTGACACTTATAATAATATGATATCAGAATGACAGGGAAATTGAAATGTACCTGAAACTCACTGAACGTTTTTCAGAGCAATATCACCAGAATAACCTGCTGTGTTCGCAGCTCTTGTTACAATAAGAATAACTATCTCTCTGTGCTGGCTTGTAGTGCTCCAGAAGAAGAGGATGAGGAAGAAGGCTAACTGGAGTCATGCTGGAGGTCCTATAGATATCCTGAAGGCCTGTCAGGATATCACAACAGGGAGAGGTGTGTGTCTGCTCTTCATCTAGCATACTTACATAATAAAACCATTGTAATAGCACAGGCATTAAGGTGTCCACATTTGTGTTATCTCTTGTTTCTTCACAGTTGACTTGTCCAGCTGGGAGCAGAAGATCCAGAGAGATGCTGTTGCAGAGAGATTTGGTGGGGAACGTGCAGATGACGGAGCGGAGTCGGTTCTGATGGAGCATCAAAGTGACAGTGCTATGGAGATGAGCAGCCTATCACAGGAGCTCTACAAAGATGGGGTTCTCACATTGGGCTGTATAGGTATGATACCTCTGTGTTGGCAGAGAAATGGAGCCGTGTAGACAGGTTGACCGAACAAATCCTTAAAGCAAATCCAAAGAAGATCTTACCAGTTTTTGGTAACACCAGATAATTACATCACAATCTCAAGCAATCCCAAGATTTACCAAGAGTAATAAGATAAAGCCTCTCTGTCTCTCTATTTTACTGTGATGGAGAACAACAGGGTCCATGCTATGTCTTATTACACTTGTTGGATATGTCACCCTGTTTAAAATCCACAGTGCTTCAATGAGATATTCTAAGAGTAAAAAGTATTCTTGCTCGACTATAATGGACAGACCAAATGTCTTTGACACATGAAAAACGTCTCTATATGAAGTAAATAAACCTACATCTTCTTGTCTGAAATATACTGTAGTTCAAGGTTGAAAAACTGAACAAAGATCATAATTTGTAGATATTAAAGACTGATCATAAACTTGTCCTGTTTTCTCAGGCTTTCCAAATGTTGGTAAGTCATCTGTTATAAACAGCCTGGTGGGGAGGAAGGTGGTGAGCGTGTCTCGAACCCCAGGCCACACCAAATACTTCCAGACCTACTACCTCACCCCAACAGTGAAACTCTGCGACTGCCCTGGACTGGTCTTTCCCTCGCGTGTCAACAAACAGTTACAGGTACAAACTCACTGTTGTGTACTAGAGAGCAGATGTGATTTTGAGTTTACCCGGCTGTTTAGGCTCAGTGGAAACTTAACTGTGTTGAACAGCACATTCACACAGCTCAGGGAAAATGGCTTATTGATTTTATACATTCCCACTTGATGTGTTTCAAAAACTCCAGGGTTGTTTGTTGTGATGGTTGTTCAACTTTTCAAGCAGTTTTTTGATACTATCTTGCCATTTTCAATCATGATTTCATACCTGTCTTTGTTTGTTTTTTTCATTGAGCTTTTTCTTCTCTTGCTTGTTTTTTTTTGTTTTTTTTTAACCTTTGCCTTTATTTTTATGTTCTATAGATTCTGGCTGGCATCTACCCAGTGTCTCAGCTGCAGGAGCCCTACAGCTCAGTTGGTTATCTGTGCGAGAGGACTGCGTTCCTCTCCGTGCTGAAGCTCCAACATCCCAGTTTGATGGAGCATGAACCCCATAACAGAAACCAGAGGTCTGAAGAGTTTAGCTGGACTGCGTGGGATGTGTGTGAGGGTAAGACAATTCGCAGTGACACCAAGCATTTAATATTATGTGAGTTTGTAAGACTTTGAGAATCATGCTTGCACAGTAGCTCACCCACTTTACCACTACTTACCAGCACCCATGCTAAGGCCCATTATTGATTGTAATACAGTATATCAACATCTGGTGTTATTCTTTCTTCTTTCTTATTGTTAACTAATCCCATCGAAAAACTAAAACCAACAATGCTATTTTAGTCTGGCTCTCAATGGTTTCTGACATCCCTAGCCTTTCTGTAGTCCTCAGCCCCAAGCTCATTTATTCCTACCAACGCTGTTAATGTTCAGAACTGAGTTACAAATATACTGAACAAAAATATAAATGCAACACTTTTGTTTTTACTCCCATTTTTCATGAGTTGAAATGAAAGATCTTAGATTTTTTTCTACAAACACCGAGGGTTTATTTCTCTTAAATTTTATGTTAGTGAGCATTTCTCCTTTGCCAAGACAATCCATCCACCTGACAGGTGTGACCAGATGCTGATTACACAGGGTGATTATTGCACAGGTGTGCCTTGGGCTGTTCACAATAAAAGGCCACTCTAAATTCTTAGATCTTTATTTAAACTCATGAAAAATGGGAGTAAAAACAAGAGTGTTGAATTTATATTTTTGTTCAGTATGTATAATTTCATTGTTTCACTCATAAAAGGGATAAATCATTTCCCTAAAACAGCTGGGTAGTTTTAAGCAAATGTTAATCAAACAGGAGTAAATACTGTATTTTTTTGCGTACCCAGGTTGCTCACCTGGTAGAGCACGTACCATGTACTAAAGCTGAGTCCTTGCTGCAGCGGCCGGGGTTGAGGCTCTTTATTGGATGTCATTCGCTCTCTCTCCCTTGACTTTCCTGTGTATCTCTGCTGTCACACACAAAAAGCAGAAAAATGCCAGAAAAAATAATCTTTAAAAAAATGCCCATGTTCATTTTAATGAAAAATATGTCATTGATGGGTTTTTAATGGTTTTTGGAGAAGAGTGGATATCCATGGCACAAAGGAATGAGCCAGACAAGCCAGTTGTTTCTTTTATTTATGGCTAATACCATGATGTGTTATAGTGTCATCAAGACCCCTCTCTTCCATATCTGTTTGTGTTCTTAAGCCTGGGCAGAGAGGAGAGGATATAAGACAGCAAAAGCAGCTCGCAACGATGTTTATCGTGCTGCTAATAGTCTCCTGCGGTTGGCAATTGATGGCAGATTGTGCCTTTGCCTCAGACCACCTGGCTACAGCTGCCTCAGAGGTAAAAGAGTCTCCTCCATGACTAATAATTTCAGCTACAAGTGTTTTTGAAAAGTTGCAGCGACAGGTGGGTAGAATTAATTTATTTTTGGGATTATGTATGGTCTACAGAGCATTGGGAAAATCACCCGGATTTGCCAGAGATTATGGCTCTACAAGGACGGACGACAGAGGAGGAAGGGACAGGAGAGAGGGACGATGAGGAGGACGGAGAGTCCAGTACCGAGCCAGAGGAGGAGAGAGACAGGGATGCAGATGATGATGAGGATGGAGATGGGGATGATGAAGATGAGGGGTTTGGACATCCAAGACGGAAGGACGATAAGCCATCTGGCTTCACCGTTAACATGTACAATGTCCTCCGGGAAAATGAGTGTGAGTGATAACAGAGGGAAAGATGAGCAGGAATAAGTTGTTTCTCTTCCCTGACTTTTCCCCAGTGCACTTTTCATTCCTTTTATTTGCCAAAACTTGCTTTCCTTCTGCGTATCGACTCCTCATATCACTTGCTTCTCTGTACATGAACATGATCTATTCTAATGAATTCCCCCTGTCTCCTTCTCCCAATAATATACAGAGCATATTCATGTATTCCATGTTGTGCCTCTGCTCCGCTTGTTCTTTAATGTTGCTTCTAGGAATGGGTTTGGTTTGGTTTGATTTAATCTTTCTTTTTGCATGTAGTTCTCAAAGACAAATGAACAAGTTACTTCCCTAAGCCTGGAATAATCAACCAACTGGTTTTCAATCTCTTTATTGATAAGTGACCTCACAGCTGAGATGCCAAAGTTCAGGAAAGGTTGAAAAAACAAATCAGATGCACTGTCGATATGATGTCATTCACTGGAGCAGCCTTTTGGCTCACAGAGCAGCTTGAGATTTAAGACCACAACTCTAAATCTTCTTATAGACCATAGTATGTCTCAACTTTGGTTTGGGTGTGGGATGTGATATGAGCGATAAAACCAATATTTCTTCACACAGTTTTTCAGTTACGAGTATTACGATTCTGTTAGAGGTTCATTTCTCTGAACTTGGTTATTATTTAGATGATCCTGTATTGAGAGTGGTATTTTATCAGGTGTGATTCTACACAGTCAACAATACGTTTCAGAAAATTTCTGGGATGGGGGGAGGGAAAGGGGTGTTGAATCCTGTATTGCTGGAATAGGCTGTTTCAAGAATTTAACCTGTAGTGTTTTAACTACTGCAAAAATTATCCTTAGATGCTGATGGAGAGCTACAGTATTTAGAGTAGGATTTGGCTACAGTCATTCAAGTTTTAATGCTAATGGCAGCACAGTGGAACTGAGCCATTTGAGACTGCTTAAAAATCAGTTATAGGTATAGTTTGACATATTTGCACATATGTTTATTGGCTTTCTTGCCAAGAATTAAATGAGAAGATTGATGCCGCTCACATCTGTACGGCAAATATGAAGTTGGAGACAGGAGATGGTTAGTTTAGCTTAGCTGGCTCTACCAGCACCTCCAAAGATAACTATTATTATTATATTTTGTTTGTTTAAGATGTGAAAAAACCGAAGTGTAAATATTACACATTGTGGATTTACAGCAGGGTGTGTGTTGCATTATTTCTTGGTGCCAGGCTAACAGTGGAGAGCCCAGGTAGTTACTTCACCTGACTGAGTGTTAGAGGTCCTGGTAGTCTGAGTTTGTTACATTTGGACAGAGCCAGGCCCGTTTCCAGTCTTTGTGCTAAGCTAAGCTAACTGGCTGCTGGCTGTGCTATATGAGAGTGGTATCGATCTTCTCATCTGACTCTCGTCAAGAAAGTGATAAAGTATCTTTACCAAAATGTCAAAACTGTTTCTTTAACCACACAGAAAGAGAGACTGGTCTCTACAGCTCCCATCTGTCCTTCATTATAAATAACATTACACACTCCATCTTTGCAATGTTGTTGGTTTTATGAAATATAATTATTACAGTGTTCAAATTCAAAATCTGGTCCTGTAATGCTGTTAAAACACCTGCTACAGACATTCCTTATTCTTGGTCAATACTTTTTTTTATCTAACTTTCTCTTGAAACTAGAAAACTGGCAGCTGTCTGACCAGTCTCTCTCTCTCTCTCTCTCTCTCTCTCGCTCTCTCTTTCTTTCTTTCACTCTACCTCTCTCTCTCTCTCTCTCTTTCGCTCTACCTTTCTTTCTCTCTCTCTGTGTGTGTGATGGCCCCGCTACAATCCTGAGTGCTGTATTATTGTGTGCTGCTTCATGTGTTCACTGAGGGAACCCTACAGCACAGTGCTGTGTTACCATGTAATGCATCACACTGCAGCCACATGCAGTCATTTCTACCATTGGTACAATGTGAAGCAGTTACTCAACACTACCATAATGTTGGAGACAGCAGACTTTTTGCTGTGTTGATGTGGATTTTTGTTTATTGGAAATATTCAAACTGGCGTTATCTAGAGAATGTGGTGTGAAGGCTTGAGGTGTGTTCAGGCTATTTGCTGCATTCCTCATTTCATTCCTAGTATGCCTAATGACGAACTGGACTGCTTTCTGCAATAAAAGAAAATATTCCTCTAAACCATCTTGGTGTTTGTAAGTGGGTTCTTATTGTGTTTAATGACATCTTTGCAATATTTGCTTTTAATGATTATGATGATGTAATGATAATGAGATAATGCATGGAGATTATAAAATACATAGTCAGGGAAAGATGTTTCAAGGACAATCTCTCCACATTTTATTTTTACTATAATCGTGACTGACTGATCACAATTCTACCACTGGACACCCGAATGCCTCGTGACTGACTTCAAGTTTCCCCATATGACCATTGCTCTTTCAAAATGAATTGCTGCAAACAGTTTCTATTAGGCGGTCGTTTACAGCCTGCAGTGTTGCATTTGAAGTGAATGCTGAGACAACATCTCAAAGTGCACTATATATTGTAGGCCTATATATAGACAATATGTGTATATATACACAATGTTCTATGGATGCATAGTGATTCTAATTAAATTACTTTTTGTGTAATTTTTGTGTAGTTAACTAATGAAACCACAAACGATCTTGGGCCATCAAAGGAAAGGAATGATTTTCTTTATTTTACCATTGCCTCTCTACTATAATTGAACCCCCTTTGACCAGCCTTGGCCGCTGTGAAGGCATTCCAAGGCAATGCATTTGTTAGGCAGTCACCACCACACACTTGACCTTTGTGTAGTGCATGTGCAAAAGCAGAGGGCAGGCGTTGCTCAGTGTTCACACAGTGACAATGTCATCATGGATAAACCTCCCGGGTCTCAGCCTGAAGAAGAATACCCATGGCCTTTCTTAGGCAGTTGTTATATACAAAACCAAACTGACAATCCTTGTAGTTTCCCATGAATAATGTGGTCTTTTTAATTTCTTTTTAATTTTTGTTAATGTATGACCAATGAACAAGTAGGTACTTTTTACAATTAACTTAACTGAGCAGCATTTTTGGCTTTTTTGTACTATTTTTTTTGTTGGAATTTCATATCGCATGTACATTGTCAATTTCCTCATTTTACAAAGTAGTTTGAACTATCTTTTCTAAGTAGCTTTAGTTAACTAAGCTAGATGACTCCCTATGGTAGCTTTGCTGCAGTAGAGGACTGTGAACAGAAGGAGGACTGAGGCTCCTTCAGAGCTGAAGCTGACCATAAAGAGAACTGGGTCCTCTTTCAAAATAAAATGCAATGCAAGAAGAACTCTTCTCTGTTGGTCCACTTCAACAGGACTGAGTTTGGTTCATTTAAAGAGGACTTTATGTGAACACCATAGACTGTAAGCTGAAAGCATCCTGATATTTATATCACTTCTAACTTTCTCTCTCTGAGTTATAATTTTGTGATTAAATAGAGCCAATGCCACAGCACAGATGTTATCTTTAACTGTGAATGTTTGTCAGAAAACATTGTGGTTTTAAAATCAGGATTTTATCAGTGCAGAGCAGCAGCACAATGGGCCGCGTTTCAGTCACTATTTCATTGTTCCGATGTCTAACAGGAGCAGAAAAACATGTAAATGAGAACAGCTTTATTGGAAATTTGTTTGTATTAAAACACTACATGAGCACAGAGAGTAGGAGAGAAGCAAACAGATAAAGGCCTGAAAACAGCTGACACTTGGCAGAATGCAAATAACCTACGCCACAGTCCAGCCATGTGCCAGGTTTCGAACTAATCTTGTTGAAAAAGTCACTCACACAGCACTCGTCAAGCAACTCCCTAATTTCAAATGTACATGATTAAACCAAGAAGAGATGATGTGTGATCATCTCCTTTAATTGATTTGACGAAACTTGACAGGAGGTTTGTGATCAAGTGGACAGCTTGGACATGTTTAGATGAGCTTTGTCAGACCAATTACACTTTGCATCCTGCCTGAATGCCAAATAGACACAGGCATAAATTTATTCTCATGGACATGTTAGAGCTTTATGGCTAAAGTTGTATTGTAATTAGTTAGGGGACTTCCTTTTATTAGTACCAAAGACAGATAATTACAATGATGAGATTTACTGATTGCAACAATCAGCTGCACTCTACACACATCTAATTAAAAATCCTCCCAAACTACTTAATTGGTGAATTTACAGATGGGCGATATCGAAGCAGATAGCATGAAATGAAGTAAAATGTACCCAACCACAAAATCATTAAGGAATAATTCAACTCATTAGCAAGCTTGAGCTAAACATGACTTCTTGACACGTTAAACTAATTATTTCTAAATATTTGTGCATGTGGAGACACGACTATTAGCTCTGTAATGACAAGATTTTATTGTTAATGTATTATGGGGTAGATTCCAAACTGTATAGGAGATGTGGAAGATGAATAAATGAATAGTCCAATATTAAAAGCTATTAGCTTCTGCAATGCCATAAATCATCTTGAAAGACGATCTTTGAAGAATCCCATATTTCATTTTAAGAAAGTACTTGGAATGTACTGTATGTGATTTATTTGTCCTCTAAAGAGGCGTCTGATCCCTTGAAAAGTGAAGATGAGAATCAACAGTCTTGAAAAGGTGCTGCAGAGGGATATGTTGTGAGTCTGCTTCTATTCTAATTGTGTTTGTTTATCAAAGCACCTCCAATTTTCAGTTTCATTCCACTGTGTGTCTTACATGACTACATTTAATAAAACAGGATATGCTTGGGAGGAAGAGAGTGACTTGAGCAATAAAACATAACTCAGAGTGTTGTCCACTGCGTCACTGCTTTTATTAACTGTGAAGCATATGGAATAAATTGTCACCTGAACCAGCTTCTAATAAAATGATTTCCAGAGTCATCTGTTGAAAATTTGAAACACCGAGATTTATGGCCCATTTGAGTGCTCTATGTCAGTGTTATCGTGGGATGACTGTATTGACAGTGTTTGTATAATTATTCATACTCGACACCTATCCAATCCCCTTGTCAGAGTAAATCTGGCTGCTGCTATTATCTCATTATGTTTATTGTGACCCATTGGGCACCATCCATGAGCGAGCTGAGACGGTGCGATGATAATCATCACTGAGGGTTGCCGTAATCGTTATTTACGGGGTGGAAGTGGGTGGAAATCCCCTCATTTCGCATAATTTGGATTCGGTGCCAACTCGTATGGTACTCGGAGATGCTATTTGCTGACTAGATAAACTCAGAGGAGGCGAGAGTGGAATCATCTGGAACTGTTTCCGATTCACAGCCGGAGCCATGAGCTGCTTAATTTCCCCAGCTAGAGCTCTAACTATGTTGTGGCCCTCAAACCTGTATGGCAGTAATTACAGCCAGACAAAGACCCCAGATTTACTGGAGCATGACACCATAAATTTCAAAACTGTTAATTAAATTCTGCTGTGTTATGCCCATGTGGTTTGAATTTGATCTTTTCTTTTTTTCTTCTTCTTCTTGTTGCAAAGCTTTCTCATGACGCCATCAGGTTGTTGTGGGGACTCTCGCCCTTTTTCCCCTTTCCCCTCCTTCTGTTGTTTGCCCCATTTTTACTCCCTATGTGACCCCAGCTAACATGTGGGTGAGGCCAGGCAGTAATTAATTGGTTTCATATGAGAACCGGAGCATAAGCAGAGCCGAAAAATTCATTAGTCTGGTTTTATATGCTCCCCTGGGCTCTGCAGGCGCGCACACACACACACTCACACATGCACACACATACAGGTGAGATAGAGAGTGAGTGTAAAGTTGTAAAAAGCTTTCAGGATGAGGGAGAACAACAATACATTCAAGTGTGTTTGGGCTCCCTTAATGACGAAAACTAAAATCAAATGTCCCAGCTGGGTTTATAGAAACAACCAAACTGCAGTTAGTCTCATTATAGTGAATTATAGTTCTGCATCTCAGCTGGCAGGTGAACCTCTGTGGTCACTAGAGGGCTATCAAAGCCAGCATTAGTATAAGTCTTAGCCGCAGTTAGTAGTCCGGTGTATTGAGCTGATTGTGCACATGCTTCTCATTTGTGGTGTTAATAGTGTGTATGTGCACTATGTGTCACATGATATTACAGCCATGTTCAGCTTTATCACCTTTAGAAAAGTGTGTGTCACAAGTTATGTGGGCGCATGCAGTCATTTACAAACAGCTTTCCGATCTGTGTGTGTTATCAGAGAGGTCAACGCGCGCTGGTTTCACAGTGAAGTTGTTTTTCATCTTACATGTATTCCTGGAGGTTTGACCTCTTGTTAGACAATTTCCTCTCTCTCCATATAGTAGGTGATGTTGTTCTAGAAATCCCTGCTGTGCTGCTGCTATGGTAGCAGAGTCACACATTTTTCATTCATATACAGAGACCACACACACACACACACACACACACACACACACATACACACACTGATTTATAGCTTGGGCAGTTGTCCCCCCCCCCACCATGTCAGCGTCCTGGTGCTCCAGCAGCGCTGTGGGGGGTGGCGAGGCCTCGGCCCTGAAGACTGGATGTCCTCCTCAGCCTCCTCTCTGGTCGGTTTCCACTACCATAATCGGCAGTGGTGGAAAGTAACCAAGTAGATTAACTGAAGCACAGATTGTACTGTGCTGCACAGTTTTGTACTTTACTTGTATTTCTATTTTGTGCTACTTTATTCTTCTACTTTGCTACATTTCAGAGTAAAATATTTTACTTTTTCTTCCCTACATTTATCTGAATGTTGTTACTAGTGCGTTTTAGATATTAAGATTTTACATAGAACAACATACACTATGATAAGCTTATAAAATACAATGTATTGTTTAAAGATGAAACCAGTGTTTCACAAGTTTTTTGGCCTGTGACTGCAAAGAAGTGTGTAGTTACACGTGGTTACACCCAAGAGACATTTCCCCTCTAACTTTCTCACAGACAACTACACTGTAATTTTGGCTTTGGCTCTTTAATTGTAAAATGATCATCCAGAGAGAAAGTTAGAGAGTTTTCACATCATATAGTCCTTTTTAAACAAACCAAACTCAGCCCTGTAGAAGTGGACCAAGAGAGTTCAGAGTTCTTTTTGTGTTTTTGCGTTGTGAGTTAATTTGAAAGAGGGCTCAGTTCTCTTTATGTCCCACTTCAA